TCTGGGCCAAAAGTAAAGCTGTTCTTTAAAAAAAAGGCTCTCTATACCAACTGGACAGCTTCCATCAAGAAATACAGGTTCAACCCTGATGAATTTTATTCCACAGCCTGCATCTTCTTCTGTGCAACAAAGCCTTTGGAGTTGGCTAACTCCTGGTAAATTTGGACAGGCAAACACAGTAGGGAAGAAGTGACTGAGCTGAGCTAGCTAGATCAGAAAGATGACATACCTCTTAAAACCAAAAATAAATATAAATACAACTGCAGCAATGGGCGCAAAAAGGTGTTATCCAATTCCACATGCACACACACACTGCACCAGTTACATATTTTTCCACTTTGAAATTTAATTCAGAGGAAAAAAAACATTTTGAAAAGTGATTCAGATTAACCAGATCCAAATCCTAGCTTCTTGAATGGCACAGATGAATTCAGTAAATTGTAGAGACAATACTTATTTTGGAGTTTATTTTTAAAAAAACCCAACAAACAAACTTCAAGGCAAGGTCCTATTAAAAAAAAGTGGCAATTTACTTGTAAACAGAATAAAAATGTTAAGGACTGAATTTAAAAAATGCTTTTTGTACAACTTAAAACAAAACCATTTTTTAAAAAATGCGACCAAATAATGTTACAACTATATAAAAACACCAAAACAGAAAAACAAAACAAAAATATTGTAGAACAAGAGTATCACATAACATTCTTTACTAAACTGGTCAAAATTATTTACATTGAATATTAACAGTTTGACATTTTTATTGCTCAAATGCTAGTGTGTTTACAAGTAACTGTAGTAAACGGTCATCATGGGACACTATTACACACATATCCATGTTTTTGCATATGAATTCTTGTACTTATTAAGAGAAGCATATGAACTTTTGTATTTATCAAGGCTACACTAAATTCAGCAAAAATGAATCCTGTTTCCTAGTCTCTCATACATAATCAAATCTAAACGTTCTATGTATGTTTACATTGGTCTTAAACATTTCTTTAGGTCAGGGTGAAATTAATTTCTAAAATCAGTAGACGAAGGGTCTTCCTGCTCTGCCAATATTCTATAATACTGTAACACTCCCTAATATACAACAAATCGGAAAAAAGAAATGAGGATCAAACTAGTCATATAGAAATAAACAAGACTTCGGTAAACAGTGTTTCCAGACCTGCTTTTTTTGAAACTCAGACCTCAGATAACTTCTAGTTCTTTTTTCCCTTATGCACAGTATCATCAATTCTTGTTCAAACAAGTCAAGGCACTTTCTTTTCCGTTTTACTACATTATGTAACCACTTTGTTGTACTGCTACAGACCTTTCCTCTATTAACTGCCTGCCATGAATAGGTTTTATAATTTCATATTTGAATACCTTAGTTTTAGCTTGTAATATAATACTATTTTGTAAGACTGAAAACTGTCAGTTGAATGTTCCTGTTCATGCCAAATATAGTCAAGAGAGGACTGGTAGGCAAAGTGCAGTACAGAATCTACAGCACCACCGACAGGTGACTGCATCTTAAGATAAGAAATGGGATCTATGATTTATAGATTCAAAAGAATACTGCATGCTGCAATCAATCCTATTGACCAAAAGATGAGGTTTGCTGTAAACTGCTGTTTTGGCTGTCATGCTCCTGACAAGTTGCTAATATAGCCAAAAGGTCAGGCATTACTTAGGTGTCCATTTTCACTTATCTTTTTATGGGGACAAGATAAAAATTCAAAATAACCTGACATGCAGAAAAATCTATAGAATTTATGCACTTAAACACAAGGCTTATTAATATTCAATATATTAACTAGGGAAGCTCATGATATTCTCTCTCAGCCTGGCATGGTTTCATAAAAATGCATCACAAGTCAGATGGAAATATTTTGAGCTCCATCTCCTGAAGTCAAGAAGAGACTTGGCTCCTAATGGGGGATGATGGGAACATTATTGGCCATAATACTGAGGAGTGCTCGGCATTTACTACCACTGGCAACATCACAAACTCTCCTTGGCTTGCCTGTCCCCTCAGCTGAAAAGGAATGTTCGAAAATATAAAATCACTCACATGAAAGGTGACTGGGGTTTCTGAACTATGACTTAAAAAAAAGGGAGGGGGAGGAAGAGAAGGCAAGAACAATTAACATGCTCTAGCATAACATTAAGTCTTATACAATTTGGGAGTTTAAGCTATCAAAATCTTATAGTTATTCTTTTTTGGCAACACTTACTGTTCAGAACCCTAATTCAAAGTTAAATAAATATAGACTTAAGCATGCTATTCCAGTTGTTATGCATGGTTAGTCTCTGTGCATGCTCTCCAAATCCCACCTCTTACAGATAAGTCAAAGAAACAAAATATAACAGTATGTATTGTTTTGGGGACTCAATGAAAGTTGGAGCTGCATACTATAGCCAACACTGTATTCTGATACTATTTAGGAGGGGGTTTTGTACTTAAAATTTAACATTTTAAAATGTAGTTGGACAGTTAGTTGCCACTGATCCATTAATAGAAGTGAAGCTGCCGGTGATCCGTTAACGGAACTGTGTACAAAGCTAAGAAAGAACTAACTTTAGTGTTCAAGTTTCACAGCCTAACGCATCATTTTTGGCAGTGATGAATGGAAGCTGTACCACATGCATAAATGTTTCTTGCTTCTTGGCTGTGAGACGAGCAATATGGTGAGGAATGACTCCAAGTGGACAATATGCCTGCAACTGGCCTGTTATCCCTCACAAATGACAAAAGAGTCCGTTAGAACTTTTGCCAACTGCAGCTACAAAAATGCAATGGTTTAACAAATACTTCTTTAGGGTTCATAAATCCATACTGAAAGGGTAGAGATACATTAAAAGGAAAACAAGCTGAATATGAGAAGCTGTTTAGATGTTAAAAGGAGCCAAAATAATTGCAAAGCAATGCCTGAACAGTAAGTTATGGTGATGAGAAAAATAAAATTCATTGCCACTCAAAAAAATACCTTTTGTGGTTCCCCATATACTATTTGACAACGTCTGTTCTTCTCAATTACCCCTAACCCCAGCTAGAAATGGCAAAGAGCCTTGCAATTATTCTCCATTTGCTCCCAATCTGATCTTCTACAGGCCACAGTCTGGGGAGAGCTCTTGCAACCGATCAGGCAAAGCAAGAAGTCTTCTGAATGAGCTTGTAGATCCCAGGAAAACCGTTTTGGTTCTTCAGCCATTGGCTGAGTACAATCAACCAACATTTTTAGATAAACTCTTTAAACTGACTCACATCCACCCAATTGAGTATTCTCAAATGAGTCTCAGACTTGTGGTGGAATTTCTTTGCTTTTAACAGTATAGTCTACAAAGAAAGCCAGTTTAGTTAACTGCTTAAACGTACCATCTGGTATTGCTGTGTTATAAAAATAAGTTAAATGTTTCTGTAGTATTGATTTAACTGTCCCAAGTAGTTGCCTTTCGCTGTAACAGAGGTGTTCAATTACTGAAAATGTTTCTTTGCTTAAATTTAAAAAAAAAAGCGATTTAAACATTCTTGTTCTAAAAATAGGTTTTTAGGATATTCTGATAGTAATAGCTGTCGCAGTTTGCTCCACGAATGTAACTTTTCCAAAAAGAACCTTAAAATAGTTTGAATCTATTTCAGGTGCTAACCAAGACACCTGAAACACTAAACATTTTTAATCCACTTACTAAAGCAAAGTGCAACTGAATCCTACACCTGATAGTATATACAAACTCATTATGGCTTCACCATAATAATGGTATGTGAATGGGTCCATACAATTAGAAGGATGCTAACAGACGTTAATAAATCTGTAGAACTGTTGGCAATACAATATTAAGAGCTATATTACATTCTGTAAACCTTGCAATACCACACTTCATATTATGCAAATAATCAATATTTACAAATCCATATTGGGTAAAATAATTAACCCTCTAATGTAAATTATGATTTTGCAAAGTGCAGGACAAAACCAGTGCTGTTAATTGCAAGTCCGATGCAAGCAAGTTATAGTAAAATTATCAGTAACTACCAAAAGCTTACCTAGATGTTTCTACAGAGGATTTATAGGAGTGTGACGCTTAGGATGAAATACAGTATGATATGGAGTTAGGATGTACATTTAGAAACAGCAAGTATAGAAATGAATAAGGCAGCATGCTCAGAACAAGTTTTAAGCAGCACTGATGTTAGATCCTTAGTGGCAACTATATCAGTTCTTGTTAACGTTAAAAATTCAGAGTGCAACATAGAAGCCTTGTTTAACATAAAAAAATGTGCAAATTGTTTTCTTCTTAAACAAAAGAAAATAACATCACGAGGAAGATATTCTACCAAAGACCATTTCTAAATCACAGCAAAGTAGACCATCTTCTTTCCAAAATCATCTACAAGGCACTAAGGGTAGGAAATGACAGGTAACATGAAAGACTGAATACCGCTTCTCAGTCAGGTCGAAATATGGGATATTTTGGTAAGAATTCTATCAATATTACCTGTAGAAGAAAAAAAAAGAAAAAAAAAGCACAGAACATATTAACCAAGTACTTATACTCTTCAGCATAATTTCCAACCAGTGCTGAATATGCTAATGCCAACATGCTACAGGACTTGAAATCTTTGGCTCCTCTAATTTATATTGATACCAACTTTCTCGTTTGGGGGAAGGGGAAGAGGGAAGATGAGGGAGCAGGAGAGAGGAAGGCAGTCTTTTTTTCAGACTCGGGGGCTAACAGGTTCAGGACTTAAGATGCGTCAGTCTGAAGTGGACCTTGTAGACATCAAGTTTTTGGCTGAGTGGCTTCCCGAAGAATAAGAGGCAATCTTCATGGCCATTTGAAGAGCAAAAGCAGGGCTGCCAACTGTTCAGAAATTTACAGACAGTCTCTAAAAACAAGGCTAAACACACTCATTTGTATAGTTTATTTTTAAACAACAAGCTGTCCATAAGAAACTAAGAAACCAAGAAACCATGAGTTTGACTGAAGATCCAGATGCAAGTGTTGATGGGCAGACAGAGCAGAGCAGTGACATCTTGTGTCTGAGTCGGAGCACAGCGCAGCACTCTGCACGAAGCTCTCTGTCAGGGCTTTTGGCCCATGGGAGCCTCTGTAGCCCCCCCACTGGAACCCACCTGCTGCTGCTGCATCCCAGATTGTTGCCAGCTTGTAACAGCTGCTTGCCTCAAAGACAAAGCCAAGCTGTGTGGGCCTGGACAGTCTGAGCCACCAGATCAGATAGGGAGGGAGGTGGTGTGGCTGGGATGAAGCTGCCGGGCCAGGAGAGAGGAATAGGTGGGAGTGAGTGCAGCACAGTGTAAAGCCACTGCTGCAGTCAAGTAAGACTGTGTTAAAATCTGGTGTAAACCCCTCAATCTGAATCCAGCCCTTGTTACTGCCATCCAGGGCCTGGCAGAAAGATTACATTTACATTATGTAATGTGTCAGTAAAAAGAGTTATCAGCAAGGATTCAGGTTTTCCATTTGCCATGGAAAGACAGAGATTTTCTCCTTTGGAGGAGAAAAACCTGGGAAATTGCTGGTTTCCCCTTGTAGGCTTACAGAGTTCCAGCCTGCAATGGGCTGCTTGGGGCTGGGGAGAGTGGGACACAGAGGACGCCACATGCACGTGGCAGCCAGGCAATATGGTGGAGAGCAGCTCCTGCAGCTTCCTTCAGGTAGGTCTATGGGGGTGGGGGATACAGGTGATACATAGGCAGGCAGTGGGGGGCACAGCAGGATGTGTGGCCCCCCAGATTTCTGCACCCACAGCACGGTGTGGAGCTGCAGCCAGGCTGAACCAGCTCTGGGCTGGAGCTGGTGTGGGAGGGAGCTCCGCACTGCCACGGCCACCAAGGTGAGGTGCCCCCTGCCCACCTGGCAGCAGCAGGGGGTACAATTCTGTGCTTCTACCACACCTCACATTAGCAGCCATGGTAGCACAGCACTCTCTCCCACATCGGGTTCTACCCACTGGGCCATGAAGGCAGCTTCTGCCCAAAGCTGATCCAGCCTGGCTCCAGCCCCATGCCCCGCTGTAGGCACAAATCTGGGGGGGCAAATGCCCCCCCACCCCCATGATGTGTCACCTGTGCTCCCCTGCAATGTGTCACCTGTGCCTACATTTCCCCTTCCTCAAACACCCACCCCTTCTCCATACACTGGGGAGCTGTGGCCTGGGGGCAGGGGGCACTGGGTCAGGAGTGAGGGGCACTGGCAGGGCCAAGAGGCTGTAGATTGGGAGTGAGGGGCACTGGCAGAGCTGGAGGGCTGTGGCTTGGGAGTGAAAGGTAACAACAGGAGCACGGCACCAGTATATTAGGGCTGCTCAATGCGACAAAGCAGCGGAGGGACAGCCACAGCTGGATGGGATATTGGTGAGCAAAGGGGGCAGAGGGAGCATTGATTTTCCATGATAAAACCAAAATCAAATGTCAAAATATATAGGTATTTAGTATTAGTTTAATTATACTGACTGAGGCACTGGCAGGCTTCCAAATTGCTTTAAAATTGTAAATGCATTAATAAAACATTGTGTTCAATTGATAACTATATAAATAGTTGTGTTTTATTTTAATTGAGGAAAAACACAGATTTTGAGTTTATCAGAATTTGGGATTTTTAAAACAGAGAAAAACAAGGATCCCTGTTTATCAATAAAAATTTTGCAGGGTGTGAAGGAAAGAAAAGAAAAGCTATATGTTTTTTTTCCTCAGCCTGGCAACCCTGAGAAGGTACTTGGACAACATGGACATATCAAATGCATTTTCTTAAGATGGATCTATTACCTCAATAATTACCTACAAAGCCCAAAACAAACCAAAATTCCATTAACTAAACAAAACAAAGTTAAAACACTTCTAAGCCTATACTATACTATATCAATTCTTTAGGGGTTAGTTTTCATTACACAGCTACAAACTATGAAGAAAGTTTTGTCAGGGACTTCTCAACAGGTGTATTGAAAGAAACTTAAGGACTGTTTAAGAGTTCAGAGGATGTGTAATGGTAGCTAGAGGTCAAGGCTCCTTAACTACCAAATGCAATTTCTACCATGTCTCTTATGCAGGGCTCTGTCTGTGCAGGCAGTATTACCAAAGAGAAAACGTTTATCATTGACAATTTATGAATTCCACTATGTGCAGCAGCTGCCTGTGCTAAGTTTCTATCTTGTGTTTGTCAGACCACGCTGTTTTGGTAGCCAAAAGATTTCCATGGGGAGTGATATTTAATAGGTAACACAATTAAACATTAAAATCACACTGATATCAGATATTAAAAGTAACAAAAATACTTACATATTCCATCATATTGCTAGTTTCACATTTCCTTTTACTCAGCTTCCAGTGCAAACCCAGCTAAGACAATAATTATTGTAAGATTAATAAATACAATGACATTATTTTTAGTGACATAGTTATATATTGCTAAAGATTATGTTATTTAACATCTAGGGCATTTCAAACACAAAGTGCAAGATGAATTAAGAACTTCAGCTCCAGTCCTAAAGCAAAGTAATAAAGTTCCCATATTCCAGCTGTGGAAAATCTTATTTGTAAATAAAAATGGAACAACAAGAGATCCATAATCTTATTTACCTTATGATATAGTCTGTTATTTTCCCATTCTAACAACTTCTGAATCGATCTTCTAGTCTAGGAAAGAACACCAGAATAGCATTAGATGTGGCTTAGCTACCAAGCTCTCACATAAATCTTAAAATTATATTTGCAATTCAAGAAACATAAATCAAAATTATAAATGTGTGTTAAGAAATGAGAACTAAGGAAGAATTACACCTTGGAAAAAGCTTGCCTTTCCAACTATAATCCTTTTATGTAAAGGTGCGCCAATACATCGGTCCGATATCGGATCGGCACCAATATAAAGAAAACAGACTATATCAGAAATCAGCCTGATGTGGCTGATAATTAGGCCAATAAATGCACATGCCTGTGCGCAGCCACAGCGCAGCACACATGTAGCGAGGCGCAGAGCCCAGCAGCATGGAGAGCTGTTGTGGTGAAAGGGGAAGGGGAAGGGAAGTGCTGCGGCGGGGGGGTGGCAGATTAATGCCCCCCATAGTGGAGGAGTGGGGCAGGGGCTGGGGCAGGCATGGGACAGAGCTGTGTCTTGTCTGTGGAGTGGCGGCTCCCACCACTGTGTGCCGCTGGTCCAGGAGCAGTCTGTTTGGTGGCTCTGGCTGGGCAGCACCTACTCCAGCCCCTGCCCTACTCCTCCCTCACCATGGGGGGCACTGGTCTTCCCCCCCGTCCCCTTTACCACAACAGACTTACCAGCTGCACGCAGCTGTAGCAGAAATCAGATCAGTATCAGCTGATACGCCTCCTTAAAAATCGGCTAATCTGTATCATCCCCAAAAATCTCTATCGGTGCACCCCTACTTTTATGTATAGAAAAGTGGGAGCCTCAGAAAGTTGCAAGATCCAGACTTCCAACAGTTAGTAGTCTAGCAGGTTAAAACATAATGATTTTCAATTCCAAGATCAGGTTCTGAAGCCTTATGTAAGGTCAAATATGAAATGTGTTCCATAGTATCCTTGTATTGTCCTATAAAGCTTTGCCTCCTGTCACAAAAACAATCACCTGTTTTGGTCATTTACACTTACAGAAGGCCCATGGACATTATAGAAGAGATATTGCAAGGCAGAGCTGGTATGAACTGTATGACTTGT